GCACTTACCACCAAACCCTGAGTTCAATCCACAAGACCAACTTGATGGAAGGAGAGATCCAGCTCCCACCAAGCTATCTTCTAAACTCACATGCATGCTGTGGTGCACACACACACACACACAAATAACTTAACTTTTAAAAAAGAAATGTTTAAAGAGATTTTTTTGTGTGTGTATCTGGTTTTCTGAACCTGTCCACCGGTAGAGATGTACAGTATAGTAACTGAACTAATGATAAATTTCTATGTCAGGACACATACATACCAGCAACGGCTACTAAGTATTCTTCAGTTCACTATTCTCAAACAAGCATTCATCAGAATGGGAGGACATGTTAAAGCAGACTGCTGGGCTCCACCCTCAGATTTTCTCCCCCTCCTCCTGCTTTTTTTGAAAACAGATTATTTTCTCGTATATCCTGATTACAGTTTCCCCTCCCTCTCCTCCCAGTTCCTTCCCACATCCCCTCCCATCCAGATCCATTCTCTTTCTGTCTTTAGAAAAGAACAGGCTTCTAAGAGAATAATAAAATACAGCAAAATATAGTAAGATAAAAACTGTCACATCGAAGTTGGATGAGACAGACCAACAGAAGGAAAAAGACCCAAGAGAAGGCCCCAGGGTCAGAGACGCACTCGCTCACACACTCAGGAGTCCCATTTAAACACTAACCTGGAAGCCATCATATATAAGCAGACCTGGTGTAGACCCTGTGCAGGCTCCGTGCTTGCTGCTTCGTCTCTGTGAGTTCATGTGAGCTTTGCTCATCTTGATTTAGAGGACCTTGTTCTCCTGGTGTCCTCCATGCCCTCTGGCTCTTACACTCTTTTCTGCCTCCTCTTCCTCAAGGTTCCAATTTAGGGCTGAATGTTGCATTACACTCTCTGTGTAATGTCTGGCTATGGGTCTTTGTTACCACCCTTCAGATTTTCTTATTCAGTCCTTACATGACATACATTTTGTGTATATGACAGTGGCCTCGTGAGATTATGATAGAGTTGGTTTTTTATCACTTAGTGACATCATAGCTATCGTGTAACTAAATGAAACTGTTGCTGCCAAAGTATCACACACACACATTGTATACAGTACATAATACTTGACAATAGCTATGTTGGTTGTGTCTTCACCATACTATGTTTCAGTCATTATTTTAGTGTGTACTCCTTCTATTTACTTGGTTTTTTAAAAGGTTTACTGTATAAAGGTATGTTTTGTTCCCCAGACAGCAGCCTCTTATCTTTTGTTTTCCATGTCTCACAGCTGTATCACTAGGCCTTCTGTGGTGACTCCCTTCTGGTGGCCCCCCCCCCCCCCCAGGTCTATGTGTCCACTCTCCCACAGCAAGAAAGCTACTCAGCATTTCTCAGAACATATGACTGTAGTTCTGGGGTATGACTTGTCAACTTTCATTTCTTTGTGAGTATGTGTAGAGTGTCTCTGTCTGTCTGTCTGTGTCTCTGTGTCCATACATGTGTGTGCAGGTTCCTATGGAAGCCAGAAAGGGATCCTCTGGACCCGAAGCTGCAAGTGATTGGGAACCAAACTCCAGTCTTCTGAAAGGGCAGAGAGCGCTCTTAACCACTGAGCCATCTCTCCAGCCCCTCAACTTAATTCTTAAAAACTTTCTAGGTGATACTGCTACTGTTGGTCCTGGGGCCACACTTTGTCACCAGCTGTCTTAAGTAAAAGTTAGGCATATAAATGGTCCTGAAAATAATTTGCCATCCATCAAGCCTTCACTGGTTTCTGATTCCCACAGGCAAAGCCTAGGCTGTGTCGACAGTCTGTTCTGCTTTGGTTTCCAAAGTTCCTTAAAAAATCCCCAATTTAAGAAAAACAAAACCTTAGAAAGTAACGACGGTCTCATTTTGAAAAAATCTCAAAGTTCTGGATTCCGAAGCAAGCTGCAGTTCCCACAGTCATTACCATTCTGTTACATCTGGAAGCAGTGACAGTCTTTGCACCCAGAAAAGACAAAAATAACAACACAGGAAGCTTGGGGTAGCCTGAGGCCACTTCTTTTAGAAAGCACATTTAATTCCACTACACTACTCTGACGAGGTGCCGAGGAAGCCAGGAAGGTGCTGAAGCAATCTCAACCAGAAATTGACAAAGAAAATCTTGATGATGTCAGCAGCTTCAGAGTATCTGGGAGATAAACAACCAACTCCAAATGGAACACTGTGTCAGGCAGGCGTGTTCCACTTCCTATTATTGTCCTCAGACCCTGAGCCTGGGCAGAAATCACCTGTAACAGAACAGGGGACGATCCCTTTGTGCTGTGTTGCTCAAAGCCAGAACAATTTTAGATGGTCACCCTCATGATACCAAACAGACTGTTCCTGGGCCTCTGGTAAAAACAGCTCCAGGTATTCCCACATCCTGACGAACAGTGCGAGTCATCAACAACCACAAGCCTCATTCCAGAAACAGACAGGGTTCCTGCTCACCTCTTCATCCTTTTAATGCCTTTTCTTCTCTTCTCTTAGTTTCCTCATCTAAACCATCTTCTCTAAAGAAAATCCCACTCTACTCTCATGGATGGATTCTGCCTCAGTAGCTAAAGGTGATAGTTAATATTTAAACTTCTTAGATTTGTGACCACCCTTCCCGGTCCTTCCCTCATCCCTCTCCATATCCTACCTGCTAAGCCCAGAGTAACCTAAGGACAAGACAGGACAGTAATTGGTTTATTCCTGTTCCTGTGGCCTGTTCTCAACACTGATGGTCTTCCCAGACATGAAGAGGCAAATGCAGAGTGAGCACGAAATGACCAACCAAATGACAACCAAGTGCTACATTAGATGCCCCCATTAACAAAAGATGCAGGGGTTCTGAGAAAGGACCAGACTCACTGAGAATTATGACAATGACATCTGCTCTTGTAAAAGCCAAGGGATTCAGATCTCAAAACTGAAGGACAGACACCAGCAACACACACACACACACACACACACACACACACACACACACACACACACACACACGTTTTCTTTCAGTGCTGGGAACCAAACCCAGGGCATTCCATAAGCACTCTACCACCGAATAATATCCCAGTCCCCTTATAGGCAAACAGAATCTTGGCTGTATGCTTGATGCCATATTCAATCTCAGCATCTTAGGGTACTGACACTAAAGCTGGAAATATAACTCAGTCAGTAGTGTTCTCTCCTAGCATGTGTGAAGTCCCGGGTTCTATTCCCAGCACCGCATAAACCAGGCAGCACATGCCCATGATTCTAGCACCTGAGAGGTGGAGGCAAAGAGGATCAGAAGTTCAAGTCATCCTCGGCTACACAGCAAGCTCAAGGCCATCCTGGGCTACATACGACCCCGTCTTCCAAAAAGTTAAAAAGAATATTGACACTTAAAACAGACCTTCCAAGTAGCTGGTCCAAGGTCCAAACTCTTTATTTTTCAAACTAGAAAACTGAACAAACTGAAAACTGATCAAAGAAAGTGGCTTTAACATAAAAAAAAATAGCTACAACCCTGAGGCCAGGACTCAGATTTTCTGATCAAGATCACAGTAACAGGTCTCTTTTCCTTGGGAGGTTGGGTGTTGGTTTTTAACATCCTCCTTGAGAAAGGTCCAATTTGTCCACATGCCCACCCTCACATGCTGACAGGAAGAGGGGCCCCTTAGAGGCCCAGCAAGTGAGTGGTAAGTTACTAAGAATGATGCCACAGGGGAGAGTGCCTGTGTCTCACACAGTCTGTGGGTTCTTTATGCCCTCCTTTGTCATCATATAAAACTACAAACATAATAATCCAAGTACATCTATATACATCTCCTTTAGAGCGAGTGAACCTCATCATAGTTTTGGGTGTCCCCTTAGAGAATAAAATAAAATTGCACTTGTGGCTTCCCAGATTAAAGGCTGAGATAAAATGAGGTTGTCCAACCCCTAGGAAAACAGGCCACACATGCAGACCCGCCTGGCCTGTCATTCCTTCCCGGCACTTTGCTCGGCACACTAATAGGAATGACTCCTTCACAAGACACCCAAGAGGTAGCTAAAGATAATCACCCCCATGGATTGGTGTAGCACACAGAGGCAAGGGATGAGGTGTGTGGAAGTGCCTGGGAAGAGGAGCAGAAGACCTGGAGAGTGGAGATAGACCTCTAGTTCTGAGCGTAGCATTCTCCCCTGAGAGGAAAGCATTTATTTGGTCACGAGAGGTACCCTCAGTGCATAGCAAACGTAACAATGAGAATGTGGAGGTTGGAGGTAAGAGATAGTGTTGACGTAACAATGACACTTCTACACAAATCTCTAGGGAAGAATGAACATCCTTCATGAATGAACATCCCCCAGGCCATGCACGACCCCTGAGGGGTCCTGCCATCATCATGCTCAACAGGCCAAAAAGCCAGGTGGCACGGACTTCCCTTATGAGAGAACCATAGCAGAACTGAGGAGATGGCAAAAGATGCAGGCAACTCTTGAGGACTCAATTCTCCCCTAGCTCCACCTTCTGCCTGAGGGAAGGGAGGTGGGCAGAGGCACAAATGATACAACTGGCCTTCAAAGGCAAGCAGTTCCTACTGTAGCTGTTGACAGGACCAAGAACCAGATCATACAAACTCAGTATAGAGCCAAGGCCTGGTATCGCTTCCTCTGGAACCAAAACATCTCAGCCCCACCCTTCTCTCTAGGAGAATGACCTAACAAGGCAAGCTGGCTTCTCAGAGGTAACAGAGAGTGCCCGCTCAGCATCATGAGTTCCCCTCAAGCTAAGCACGAAGAATCCCTTCAGGAGGGATTCTGAGGACAAAGGCTGTGGAGCTCTGCCTATGGGGACAACTCAAAAGTTTTAAGCTACACATTACCCCACACTCAACACACACACACACACACACATATATACATATATATGTGTATATATTTATACACACATATATATACACACACACACACATATATATATATATATATATATATATATAGAGAGAGAGAGAGAGAGAGAGAGAGAGAGAGATAAACTCCCATTAACACATACGCACACACACATATATATACACATACACAGAGATACACTCCCACATACTTTTTTCAGCTGGTCCCAATCCAAGCCCCAGATTCTACCCACAAATACTGTCCCCTGTAAACATGATGTCACAGACTCCCACAATCTGACAAATCTGGCCTAAGCTGACAAAGTTCTAAGGATGACTTCTTCTCATTAAGTGCCCCGGTAGGTGATATTGGTGAAGGTGGAGGTGGCCTCTTTAAACAGTGGGTTGTTTGCCTGCAAAAAGAGCAGAAGAGAGTCACAGTCAGCTCCTTGCACTTCCTTACCCTCAGCAGTTGAATTTCATCTGAGAATTTTGCCCAAGACATCCTTCTCTAGAGTCAACTGTCAAAAGCAGCCGTGTGCACATATACGCTTTTGCTCTGAGGATGGGACTAGACAGTTAGTTAGGAGAGGAGAGGATGGTGTGTTGCTAGTCAGCCGCCATTTCTAAGGGCTTCTAATTCAGCCCATAACTTTTGGTGGTGAATACCCATTAGTTCTTGGCTGTCCCAAAATAGTGTACCATTTTACCCAGTCTCTCCTATTTCCTCTTCTCTCTCTACTCTTCCTTTCCCTTCATCACGGCAGTGCCAGGAGATGTGAGCCAGAAAGGAAAAGGGGAGTAGGTGGGGTCAGAACACAGAGCTTTACTGAAATAATTCTTGCTTTATCTCATCTCTGGAGTCAATTGCTACCCACAAACCTGTTGTGTGCTCAGGAAGACAGAAGACCTTTACTGAGTTTCCAAAATTATTTCCCAACAAAACTGATGAATCCCCCGCTCAATGGCAGTACGAGATATTTACAAAATTCTTTGGTCCCTTGGTGGCTCAGAATGTTCTACATAGTCCCAACAGAAACATCTCTGCTTCTTGGGTCCAGTGAATACAAAATCTAGGGTCACCAGGAACAAAGTTTCAGCCTAACCCTGGATACTCTATAGAGTCAAATGGTCACTTGGTAGGTTCAGGAAAAATAAAATGAACAAAAAGAGAATAGAATTAAATATACAGGTGGTTCTCAAAAAAAAAAAAAACTGCTCGTTTGATAGGCTGGTGAGCTGGCACAGTAGGGGTGGGGGGAGAACTTGCTGCTGAGTTCCATCCTCAGAACCCACAAGAAAGAAGAGGACTGACTCCTGCAACTTGTCCCCTGACCTCTGCACAAATGCCATGGCATGCATTGGTTTGCACACACACAAACACTCTTTTCTTAATGCTCATTTGGTTGGATTAAATCAGGATAAACTGCATCCTGGGTCCCCCAGAGAAGCCTGGTTTGGAAGCTACTACTTTGCATTTGCAGAAAAGGAGAGAATGAAGTAAACAGATGTACTGTGGCTACATCAAAAGGTCGACCCCGAACGGAATTCCTACAGTCACCCAATTCCTTTCTGGGTCAGGCAAGCTACTTTAATTCTCAGCTTCAGCCTCCTTAACAGAGAGAAAGCAAAGTAAGGTGTCAAAAGCACCTTACAGTTTTTGGTGTGAAGTCCTCAGTAAATGTTCACTCTTCTGTCACTTTCTGTTCATGTTTAAACTTCAGACTTGCTCACCACTATACAGTGTGTTACAGATCTGCCCTGTCTCAATCAACTGGAGAGTAAATGTCTCCTTTCATCACAGAGTCCTATGTGTGCACAGACAGGGATCACGACTTTCAGTCACTGTAAGGTAAAGGACTGGGTGTTTTTCATGAACTATAAAGACAAAAGAGGATAGTCAAACCATCTGCCAAACAGGATAACTAGGGAACAACTGTCGGGGCTGACTCCGACCACAGCGAACATCTGGTGCCTGGACCTCAGGTTCTGGTTTGGGGGAGGCTTTGTTTGTATTTTGTTTTGATTTGTTTGGGATTTTGGTTTTTTGAGATAGGGTTTCTCTGTGTGACACCCCTGGCTGGCCTGGAATTCATTCTGTAGACCAGGCCAGCCTCGAACTCACTGAGATCTGCCTGCCTCTGCCTCCAGACCACTGCCCGGCAACCTCTGGCTCTTGAACCAAAGATTTAAGAAAACACAAGCACAGCACAGCCTCTTACTGTGTCCCATTTTGCTCTGGCTCGTTCTTCCTCAAATTTAGCAAATTCCTTCCGGTCATGGATGGTGATGAGTAGCTTCCAGATGAGCAGAGTAGCAAGACCGATGAGCAGAATGGCTCCCATCACTGACATCAGGACCATCAGGATGTCAGGACCCTTGGGACACTCTGGGAGACAGAGGGAGAAAGCAGGAGTCACCAGACATGTCTAGGAATGAGGTCTTAACACGTAAACAAAGGACTGGAACTAAGATAGTCAAAACAGTAATTTCACCCTTTTTTTGAAGGGGGGCAGTCTTTAAAACAGCCATAATCTGTCCTAAGTGGTCTAAAGCAGAGTTCTCAGGCCGAATTGTACCCATCTGATGCAGGTTCACCCAAGTGTACATTTTAAAACTTAGTGGAGAGATGGCTCAGAGGCAAAGAGCACTCCCTGCTATTTCAGAGAACCCACATTAAATTCCCAGCACCCACATGGTGGCCCAGAACCATCTATAAATCCAGACCACTTGACAACCTCTTCTGACCTTCCCTGGCACCCAGGCATGCATATGGTACATATACATACATACAGGCAGGCAAGTCACTTATACACATAAATCTTAAAAACATTAAAAAAAGTGATTTGGGGAGTGACTAAGAGATGAATAAAGGTTGAAGCGTGCGCCAAAAGATGAACTGTGATCCGGGATGGCAAAGTCTCTTTATTCAAGAAACACCGGGGCAAAACGCAGGCCAGAGCGAGGTTACAGGAAACCAGCAAGCATGGCCAGAAAAGGGCTACGGTCTTCCGGTGCAGCCCTTAAGAAGCTCCCTTACGTCACACCGGCTTTCCTTCACCACGCCCTTATGGGCGAGTCCCAGGTCCACCTGGCACCTGTCCCATGACTATTGTGCGGGGCTAGTGTGTCTCCCTACAACTAAGCTTGGTGGTAAAGATCTCACTATTTTCCATGAAGCCTTGGCCTCTATCCCTAGCACTACAAACACAGGGGTGTGCACGCGCGCGCGCGCGTGCGCACGCACGCGCACACGCGCACACACACACACACACACACACACACACACACACACACACCCCTGCCAATACTAGAACTCACATTCCAATAGTGCAGCCACTGGCTACAGGCAGGAAAAGCTAGCTCTTTCATATTTGGAACATTTGTTTTCTACTTACCAGAGTCCTCATCTCTTTCCCCTTTCTCCCCTAAGCCCAGGCAATGTGTGACTTGTCCTTGGGTCTATGCCACTGGGCACTCTGGAGCCAAGACTGCCTGGGTTTGAATACTGGTATTCTTGTTTACTTTGCTTATCTGACCTTCAATAAACTAATTTTTCTGGGTGTCTGTTTCCTGTTTCTCCATCTTTAAAATGGAACAGCTATTCACACTCATTCAAGAGTTTGTGATGAGCAATGACTAAGCTAAGTAGATTTAAAGAGCTCAGAACAGTGCCCGGCACAAAATTAACCCCTCATAAATGCTAGCTGCCATTGGCACTGGTGCTGTTCTCATACCTAGCCTTTCTACTTATTGCCCCATCGGCAATTGTGTCTTTTGTCCAGTTCAAATATTTACATCCCTGAGAGCTATAAACTTGGTGGGCTTCTCAGCATCTTTAGAGACCAGGACACCAGGCAGTCTGGATAATATTTGGTCATCGAAAATCTTAACCCTATTGTTCAACCCCAGTCAACAAACAAAACAGGCAAGCTATGCCACTCCTTCACGGGTCAGCTGATTATTTCTGTAGAATCCAACTTCCCATAAGGCTTGGGTATCCAACAAGTGATCTCACACTGGCAACCTCCAATATTATGAAACCAGGTGCTTGTATATATGGGTGCTGATGAGTCTGGAGAGGAAGTCATGCCCACTTTCCACTCTGTCTCCCACCTTCTTCTCTAAACAGACACGCTAGCTCACCACATACTGCACAAAAACAACTGCCACCACAAACCACGCTGGCTGTTTCCCAACCCACCAAATTACAACCTATCAATAATTAAGGGGTTCCTGGAGAGAGCTTGCAAGGTTCCAGTGTCAAATTACCAGGAGCAAAGGGCCCCAGTTCTTCTGGGAAAAGCAACTGTGAATTCTTTGAAAGCTTGGGATAGGGCTGACCCTCAAACCTCAAAGTGACATTTTCACATGATGGTCTCAGCAACACAGGTAGAATCCTAGAGAAAAGCAATCTGTCATCACTAGGGGTGGAAGGCAAGAGACAGTATCAGATGACTCTGGAGGGCCCTCGCAACCACAGCAGTAGGCCCACAGTGGTCCATCCACACACAAGCAGATTTAGTAAACAAAAGTATAGGAAGTCCAGGTCGATTTGACTTCCAATAAACAAGCTACTATTTCAGTGTGTGTGTACTAAATATCGCATGGAACACACCGTGTTTTTTTCTGGCAGCCCTATCGGAGAGTGAAGAGGGCCCAGTTCCGATGCCCATTCCATGTGGCTGAATCCATTTGGAAATATTCTTTACTGCCCTTCAAAGTAAGCATTTGCAAGGCCATGAGGTGGTGAAAAGAAAGAGAGGAGTCTCTTTCTAAGCTTCAGGACTCCATCTGCCCATGCTGCTCCAGGCTAGAATGTTGGGTCAAAGGAGAGGCAGAGCCATGGAAATAGGAAACTCGGGCCCCTGGTTGAGGGCATGACTTTAAAATACAGCACCTGCACGGGGCCCTAGGTTCTACTTCCAGCACCACAAAGTCAAAGACACTGTAGGTCACTAGACCTGGGGATCCCACGTCCCACTGTGAAAAATGGGTGCATTGGCAGAGAGCGTAAGTGACCCCCTCCCCCAAGGGTTGTCTGACTATCCCACATAATCATCACCTTTGCCCCCCTTAACTATAGTAGATTCCAGTCTCAAAATCCCAAGCCAAACGTTTGAGTAAGTTATCCAACAGGAACACCAAAAAAAGATTGTGCGACAAAGAGACAAAGTAACAGTAGAGCCAAAAGTAAAGACCTAATGCCCTCCTGAAACACACAGGGATGGAGTTATGGCTAGGGTAAGGATGGAAAAAACCTACAGGGTGAGTAGGAAACTGTGGTCAAACCGTAACAGGCATGTTTCTTCACACACCTGCTTGTCCTTCCCACAACAGCTTTCCCTGGACTTTCTAAGATGAACATGATGCCCTTTCCAATCCGTAGTCCACATATAAAGGTTGAGAGGCCTAGAAAGGGCTGATAAGCTATCCCACATGAGAGCATCATGCTCTCCTTACCCCAGAGATAGCAGGATCCTGGGATCCTGGGTACCCAAGGAAGCTCCTATGGATTTTCTTGCCTCCACTGTCATACCTTCATCCCCTTGCTTGTGCAAGTAGCCAAAATTCTGTAAGTAAATTAGCCCCAGAACCACATAAAAAACTGGATGTGATGGTTCATGTCAAACTCCAGCACTCAAGGAGAGGCAGGAAGATCAGAAGTTCAAGGTCATCCTCATTACAAAGTAAGTTTGAAGCCAGCCTAGCTACATGAGATCCTCTCAAAAAAAACAAACAAAAAAAAAGTGTGTGTGTGGTGATATATATTATTTATGATTTATTAAAGTTTGCCTGGAGATTCAGAAAGCAAAATCAGCCTCAAGCTATAGAGATCAGGCAGTGTTTGTACACACCTTTAATCCCAGGACTCAGGAGACAAAGGCAGATGGATCTCTCTGAGTTCAAGGCCATCAGGGCTACATGAGAGTGAATCAGTCTAAAAGAGTAACAGAGTTCATGCCTTTAATCCCAGCACTAGAAAGATATAAAAGATATGAGAAGGATCTTCAGTCTTAGGCCTCTCTAGCCACGCTGAGGAGAGCATAGCAGTCTGAATGAATCTGAGGAGCAGTGAAGTTGGGAGCAGTCTGAGGATTGCTCCTTTGGTCTGAGCTGAGGTAAGAACTAGTGGTCAGCTGCTTAGCTTTTCTGATCTTCATCTCAAAGCTTGAAGGCTATTATCAGTCCCTGGGAGTTAACTGTATTAACTTGAATCTTCTGTCCCTGGACATGGTGGATGGGATTGAGAAGGACCCAAAGGAGCCTTGAGGCAGGAGATTTATTGGATAGAGCAAGGAGAGTGTCTAGGGGTATGCAACAATCTCAGGACTGGTACACTTCCGGGCTTGGGCAACCTGTCTTGTGTTGATTGGTCAACTGGTTGCTGTGTCCTATAGGCACTCCCAGAGCGATTGCTGCACGCCACTGTTTTGACACTGTTACCATAAAGCACATCCAGAGCTCCCCAGCTACCTTCTGATTGGTTCCTTGCCACATGGAGGGTATCCGACCTCCTAGTGACTGGGGCAGGTCCACCAAGGTCAGAAGGCTGGAAACTCAGCAACATGTGCTGAACTGAATCTTGCTGGGTCTTTTCTGCAGCCTGTCAGGGCTGCTAAAGCAGGGGGCTGGGTGAGGGTCTTCACTCTTAGGGATATCTATATTCACCTTCTTCGTCTAGTTTTTTCTGTCTCCTCAATTAACAAGTCACTTTATTTTTTAATTAATTTTTAGTCAGCTGGTAGTGGTTGCACACCTTTAATCTCAGCAGGGAGGCAGAGGCAGGCTGATCTCTGAATTTGAGGCCAGCCTGGTCTACATAACGAGTGCCAGGATGGCCAGAGCTACAGAGAGAGACCTGTCTCCAAATTTAAAAAAAAATAAAAAGTTTTATTTTTATTTCTAATGAAGTGTATGTGATTGTGTCTGTGTTTAAAAGCTGTTGTCTGCAAGGGCTGGCAAAAGGGGGGTCACATCTCCTAGAGCTGAAATTACACCTGATCTTGGTGCTGGGAACCAAGTTCAGGGCCTCTGTCTGAGCATCAAGCAATCTTAACAGAGTGAGCCATCTCTCCAGCCCCAGTGAGTCACTTTCTTGCTAGTTCTTAGTGTTCTATCCCCTTACCTCTTTGGCCTGTTTTGTTTGACAGGGTTATAAGTTGAAATTCCTGCCTTACAAGGTAGTCTCTTTCTCCCTAGGGACAGGCAGGGCTCACTTACCTGGCTCTTCTACCACATACAGGATGGCCCTTCCACTGGTGTCTTCATAGTACTGGAATCTGACAACACAGTCATCCTCATTCTTGTAGGTACAGTTCACTGCATTTTTGCCGGTATCCTCTGACATAGGGAAGGGAGAACATGGAGAATGAGAAAAAGATTAAACCCCAGAAGAGAAGGGCTTTTCCAAAACCCAGGTCATAGGACATCTGGGAAGTATGTGACAGGAAACTGCCTGACATTAAGCAAGACACCCAGGTTGGAGATCACTCCTGGCAATCGGCATTGACTGGTCCGTGGTGATGAATTTTATTTCTCACCGGCCCTTTTCGGTTCTTGTTCCTTCCTCTGAACGGGGCATACTTAACAGTATAGTCTGTACATTCTGGTCCGCAGCCTGTCTCTACCACCAGCTGTGACGCCTGCTGTGATCGGCCCTCATCATCTTCATCTAAGAAAGGAAAGCGATGCCCCCACCTTACATGGGAATTAATAGCATCCAACAGTTGCTAACACAGTAGGCATCTCCTCCCTCTTTCCTTTCTCTGCTTCCCCACTGCTTCTCAGTTGATACAACCCTTCTGGTTCTTTCACTTCTGTTTCTGATCTAGTGTGGCTCTCCACAGTCATCCCCCATCTCTGATTCCCATCATGATCTGTAGGCTTCAGCCCCTCTCATTCTGAAACCCGCCAGTCACTGCTAGACACTGTGGGTAACTCTTCACGAGGTGCACTTTGCCATATCCTGATGGATGCAGATGGGCAAAACTGACAAGGGCAGCATTCAAAAACTATGGATAACCACTGGGCAAGTCGAGACAGGGAAGAGGGAAGCTGACGCCTACACTGTGTTAGCAACTGTCTACTTTATGTCATTGAACTTCCCCTCTAAAGTAGGGGCCGTGGTTTTTCTTTCAAAGAAAAGTAGACTCAGTGGAGTCAGATAAACACCATTTCCCGCTGGGTGTTGGTGGTGCACGCCTTTAATCCCAGCACTCGGGAGGCAGAGACAGGCAGATCTCTGTGAGTTCGAGACCAGCCTGGTCTACAAGAGCTAGTTCCAGGACAGCCTCCAAAGCCACAGAGAAACCCTGTCTCAAAAAATAAAAAATAGAAAAAGAAAGAAAGAAAAACACACCCTTTCCCCCTGAGCTGATCACAGAAGTCTAGTCTCCTCTCGAGGAAATACCGCTTCTTCAACCCCTAACCACCCACCTCACTCCAAGCTGTCTTCCGGTGGCTCTCACATGAAGAGGCACTTCCTGTCTGCCTGGGTGATTGCTATCTGTGCAGAGATTGCCATCTCCCATGCACCACCCAGTCCCTTGCAACTCAGATAATGTATGTACTGAAAGCAGCAAAGATCATCTTTAAAGACAGCAGAATAACTAACTGTAGGTAAGGATTCTATTCCCCCTGTTTACACTTCTGTCTTACTTCAGGGGGGCTCCAGGAAGTCACAAGAACTTTAGGGGAACAGTCATGATTATGCAGCTACACCACTGAAGGCTTCTCTCCAAACCAACAAACTGCAAGCAAAAGCCCAGGGATAATTTAACACTCTTGTTAGATCTTGTTTTTATTTCATGTGTATGGATATCTTGTCTGCATATGTACACTCGTGCACCATGTATATACAGTGTCCATGGAGGTCAGGATGGGGCATTGGATCCTCTAGAACTAGAGTTCTTAGATGTTTGCTACCTGAGTCCTCTGCAAGTGCTCTAAACCACAGAGCATCTCTCCAGCCCCTTAACACTTGTTTGTTTGTTTTTTGAGACAGGGTTTCCCTGTGGCTTTGGAGGCTGTCCTGGAACTAGCTCTTGTAGACCAGGCTGGCCTCGAACTCACAGAGATCCATCTGCCTCTGCCTCCCGAGTGCTGGGATTAAAGGCGTACGCCACCACCACCACCCAGCCTCCTTAACACCTTTTAAAAATAGTTTTTGGAGAACTGGTCTTGCTCTGTAGCTCAGGCTGTCCTGGAACTCACTATCGTAGCCCAGGCTGGCTTCAAAGTCAAGATGCACCAGCCTCAGGTGACAGGATTTCAGGTATATGCTACCAGGCCCAGTGTTGCTTACTCACCTTCTAAGTTAGGGGTGGTGGTCACAGGTCTGTGCCTTGGTTTCTTTGATTATAAAATCTAGTACATCACCTTCCTCTCCTTTAAGGGTAAATAAAGACTTACCTGACTTGTACATCCTTCACATGTTATGCACAGGCTCTTGCTGAGCCTGGGACTGCAGGAAGCAGGCGGTGTGAGCTGCTAAACACATTTGCAAGGATGCAGGAGGCTCTTGCGAAGCCAGGCTTCGCCGTGTGCCTACTGCATGTCAGGCCTGCATAACACTCCTTGGGGTGGGAGATACTCTTCCACTTTAGAGAAGGAAGCTGGCAGGTTCTGAGACAGGAATGGAACTATGTACAGCCTGGCTGTGTAAGACCCTTAAGACCCGCTGGACTTACTCAGTTCCGTCACGAGCGTGATGTCATCTCGGCAGTAGAGGTTGCAGGTGTTTTCTTCATGGAGGGTTCCCCGGTTGAACTTCTTACACTCCACACACTCCCTGGAGGAGAGAGGACACAGTGACTAAAGCAAAGGAGGTAGAGCCCTAAGTATGCCATATACCTGGAGAGTGTCATGGAGATCAGGAATAGGGGGCCCTCCTCACCCACAGACAGGACCTGGCCAGCCAACCCTGGATCTGAGGCAAAGCCTCACTATAGAGCCTGATCTGATGGTCTTGAACTTGATCCCATTGCCTCAGGCTCCTGACTGCTGGGATTATAGGATCAAGGGCTTTGATGGTGATGATGGTAGTGGTGGTGGTGACGGTGACTTCCCATCACTTCTGGGAGATTTAGGGTCAGAACTGGTCATATGATTTCAGAGTCCACTGAAAAAATTAAAGTTCTGTTCAAACATCGCTAAGGATTTCAAGAGAGTGAAAATAGGGCATTTGGCCCAGCATGAGGCTCTTTATTCTGGGCACTGGTTCCTACCACAGCTCACAGTGTATAACTGTGAACCTGGCAATAGCAGAGCCACAGACTTGGGCTTCCTGTAACTTCCAAACAGGCCAAGTCTGTACTGGCAAAATACCCGTTTCACTGAAGCCCACCATTACTTCAGCCCCTGCACCTCCCACAGGAATCAGAACATTGCATTGGAATGTTAAGAGAATGCTCTATTTGATCCCCCTCTCAATGCAGAGGGATCCGTGATGCCACTCTGGAAGAGGGTTTGCTCCACTTGGTACTACTCTGGTCCCTGCACAGCTGGTACCACCTCCAACCTCCCCAAAGAAAGGCATTCTGGAAAAAAAAAAAAGTAGTCATTTGGCTGGAGGAACCCACTCTTATCTAAGACAGATCCTTGAGAGCTGGGAGTTCTAGTCCAGAGGCCCTCTTCTGTCTTGTGGCCTCCCTCCTTGCCCCAAACTACTGACTCACTTCTTAAATGAGCAGGCATCTGGACAAGTGGGACACTTCTCACAGGTGTCTCCATAGGAGCCTGGCTGGACGCAGACACAGCTGCCGCACTCACACTTGCCCCGGCCGCTGCACAGCAGCCCGTTGCTGGACATGCAGGTGTCAGTGCGCGTCGTGCAGTTGCAGTAGAAGCCAGTCCAGTCTGAGTCACACACGCAGTCCCCACAGTTGCACTGGCCATGGCCTACAAACAGAGCCCAGGACAGCGGACCAGCTGGTGAGAAGCCCATCCCATGACAACAGGCTACTGTCACCCTGTTCTCCCTACCGTGCTAAATACAATCCTGCAAGTAAGCAGAGGAACTTGCTCATTGCCAGGAGAGCTCTACCCAGTAGAGACAGACAACAATTTAGGAAGACCTGGAAAGCAAAGGGATATTTAGATCTATGTCTCCCAGACTTCCTGCCTTTTTTCTTTACCTGCTCTGAATCCCTCTTCCTTCTCTGCCAGCATCAGTCTGAGGACTAGAGCCAGCTCTTTAACCCAAGGGCTGGCCCAGCAAGAATCCATAGCCTGTGCCCACACGGGGCATTCAGGAACTTTGCCAGAGTAGCCTGGTGATGGTAAATGGCTCCTCTAGCCCTTACACCTGTCACCTTTGACCTGACAAGACTGCTCCCTCTCCTGGAAAGGCCAACCACTGTCTTCTCCCTTAAGTCAGACACCAACACAGGCTTGGATTTGAATAATTTAGCCTCTCCCACCAACAAAACAATGGGCCAGCCAACAGGCTCCATTACTGTGTTTCTCAAAGCAGCTAACTGTCATCTTGCAAGATGTGAAGCCAGGCTCTGAGGGAGAACTCATGAGACAGGAAAGTGCACTGTAATGAGCTTGGAGGGATGGGGCATCCTGTTACTGTCTCCTGCCAACGCTAGGAAGGGAAGGTACACAGCATGCCTTGGGTAGGCAGGTACATGGGGTAGGGTATTCAAGGGCCAGACAGAAGGCCCTGGGAGCCTTCAGTCAGCCAACAACGCCAAGGAAAAACGGAGAACAGCCTACCTTACAGCCTGCTCAGGGCCAGTACAAATAAATAAATCCCATGAGTGCCACAGAGAGAAGGCAGCAGAAAATGAGAAGAGCAGAATGAAAAGAGATTTTCCAAAGGTAAACAGCCGTAAACTGGTTAGCGATGACCTCACATAGCCCAGAGGCTTCCACAAAACCTCTGCTGATCAATTGTTGTTCCTGCCTCTCTGTTCGAAAGCTGCAAAAACATTTAGCATGATTAACATCTGAAGTTGTAGCCATGGTTCAACAGCATCCAGCCTCACCAATACAACCTGTCTTCTCCTCATATGTCCCCCATATGCTTGCCTTTTGATCTAGTCGGTGACGCTATTCTGAGAGATTCTGGAAACTCAAGAGGTGGAGCCTCACTAGAAGAAATGAGTCATTGGGGGTGGGTCTGTGCAGGGTATAACAGATATATCCCTGGCCAATTCCTGGCTTGCTCTCTCTGCTTCCAGGTTGGCCATGAAGTGAGCAGCTCTCCTCCACCACATGCTCCTGCCCGTATGCTGCCCTGCCTAAGCATTTGGGACCAAGCAAACATAGACTGAACCCTCTGAAACCATTAGCCAAAAAAACTCTTTCCTCCTTCATTTCTCTTGGGTATTTTATAACAGCAACAGAAATAATTAATACAACCTGTTGTCCTGTGTCAGCAGTTCTCAACTCATGGGTCGCGACCCCTTGGGGGTGGGGGGGGGGGTGTGG